GCTTACCCCTGAGGGAGACCCGGATGCACTTGACATCCCGACTCCGCGCTCTTACGCGGAGGCGATAGAGGGTCCCTACTCCTCTCAGTGGCAGGCAGCTTTGGACGCAGAGATGGCTTCCTGGAAGTCCACAGGCACCTACGTTGACGCGGTTCCCCCTCCTGGGGCGAACATCGTCAGTGGCATGTGGATCTTCAGAGTGAAGCGGCCGCTGGGTTCTCCGCCTGTCTTCAAGGCACGTTACGTGGCTCGTGGCTTCAGTCAGTGGCAGGGAGTTGACTACTTTCAGACCTTCTCTCCCACCCCGAAGATGACCACTCTTCGGGTACTGCTGCACGTTGCTGCTCACCGTAACTACGAGCTGCACTCTCTCGACTTCAGCACAGCTTTCTTGCAGGGCAGCCTGCACTAGGAGATCTGGCTGCGCCGCCCACTTGGCTTCACTGGGTCGTTCCCTCCTGGTACCTAGTGGAGCCTCCGGCGTCCAGTTTACGGTCTCCGCCAGGCGCCACGTGAGTGGCACGACACACTGAGGACTACACTTGCGGCTCTTGGGTTTGCTCCTTCTACTGCCGACCCGTCGCTGTTTCTACGCACCGACACCTCTCTGCCGCCGTTCTACATCCTCGTGTACATCGACGACTTGGTCTTTGCCACAGCTGACACTGCTGGACTCGCCTACGTGAAGTCCGAGCTGCAGAAGAGACACACGTGCACAGACCTGGGTGAACTGCGCAGCTACCTTGGCTTGCAGATCACCCGGGACAGAGCACGCCGCACCATTACCCTGACTCAGTCACACATGGTGCAGCAGGTCCTTTAGCACTTCGGCTTCATGTACTCCTCGCCTCAGGCCACTCCTCTGCCTACTCGCCACTCGCTCTCAGCTCTGCCTTCGGATGAGTCCGTAGAGTCGAGTGGCCCGTTTGCAGAGCTTGTTGGCTGCCTCATGTACCTGATGACCTGCACACGACCTGACCTCGCATACCCTCTTAGCATTCTCGCACGCTTTGTTGCTCCTGGGAGACACCGACCAGAGCACATGGCTGCAGCGAAGAGGGTGTTGCGCTACTTGTGCAGTACGTCGGGCATGGGGCTAGTGCTTGGAGGGCGCAGTCCAGTGGTCCTTACTGGGCACGCAGACGCTTCTTGGGCTGACGACCAGGCTACGCAGCGGTCGTCACAGAGTTACACCTTCAGCCTTGGTTCCGGCTCTGTCTCGTGGCGGGCTACTCGCTCGTCTTCTGTTCTCGGCTCTAGTTGTGAGGCTGAGATCTACGCTGGGGCCATGGCTGCACAGGAGCTTCGCTGGCTCACCTACCTGCTGACTCACCTCGGAGAGCCGCCTCGTTCTCCTCCAGTGCTGTACGTAGACAACAAGGCCATGCTGGCCTTGTGTCGAGAGCAGCGACTGGAGCACAGAACAAAGCACATTGCTCTCCGCTACTTTCTTGCTCGTGAGCTACAGCAGAGTGGACAGTTGCGGCTTGCGTACGTGGCCTCTGAGGCCAACAGTGCTGATGTTTTCACCAAGGCACTTCCGCCTTGTGATCATCAGCGCTGCTGCACTCAGTTGGGACTTGTCCCTGTCTTGCCTCACTTGCTCACCTCTTGACCTTGCTTGTACTGTTACATATATATATATATATACCTGCTCTTGCTTGTCTAGCCTTATATATATATGTACTCCTGCATGTGAACTGGCCTTGTGGCGTTGTACTTGTGCTCAGAATGTGTGGTGACTTTGTGATCCACCCTGAGCTTTGCTTTGTTTTGCTTTGCTTGACTGGTCTTGTGACCCCCTGTTCTCCCCCACTTTGCCTATGGGGGTGTGTCAGAACATATAGCTTATGCTTTTGTGTAGGCTGTAGTGGGGTATCCCATAGGGGGTACAATCCAATTAGGGTTGGTACTTGTACCCACTTCATTCATAGTTCATTCATCCTCGTTTCAGTTTTCTCACCCACACGCCAGGTGCATATTGCTCTAATACCATGTGAAGATAAGCAGTAGAAAGAGGCGCCACAGCTAGGAAAGCCCTAGCTAGGCAAGAGACAGTTTAGGCAAAAAGGGGTGTTCACTAGCAGGAATGAGGATACAAATAGCAAACCCTATAAGGGTTGTACTCGCTATAGAGCACCCCACTACAGGCTAGAGCATAACATTCTGACAATCACTATTCACTTCAGAGCCACTTCCCTCTGTGACCACCTTGCATCTATACATGGGGTTTGCAGCCGACCTGCAGCAGTGGGCACGGGGGCCACTGCAAGGGCGCCGAGTTGGAGGGCGCCTGTCTGGAGGGCGCCGAGCAGGAGGACGCCGTCCTGGACACCTGGTTGGCGTCCTGGATGCCTGGACGGCGTCATGGGAAGCTCGACGCCGCCCTGGACGTTTGGACGCCGACCTGGGGGTTCGGACAGTGTCCTGGGCGCCTGGACACCGGGCAGGGGACGCCGGGCATGTGTGGCCGGCCACGGACTGGGCTGGTTGTTTGGGCATGGTTGCCCGGTCTACCGGGATACCCGGGCGACGTGTGCGAAGGTCGCCGGGATGACGTCTGCGAGGCCGACCTCGGGGGTAGTATCCCGAGGTCGACTTGGCTGGTGGGCGCAGTCGCTGGCGTGGAGTCTGCCAGGCGTCTGCGCTGTGCACGTGACGGGGAAGTGCGCACCAACCAGCTGCACGCATCTGCGAAGCAGGTGCAACGTTGTCCTGCGGGTGCAACGCTGTGCAGCCGACTTGCTGCAGCGTTGGCACACCGTGGACTTGCAACATTGCCGCACCGCTACTCTGCAACGCTGGAGCGGTGCGAGCGCTGCTGCGCTGGAGCGCGGTCGACCGTGCTGTGATGGAGGTCGACCTGCAGCCTACCTAGCTCTGATGTAGTCTGTGTTGCCAATGTTGTTGCAAACATTGTTGTTAACTTTCCTTAGTGAAACTCTTGCCAAATTGCCCCGTGAACTAGCAAGTAGTGTGTGCACTAGGAAAACGACTAAGGAACAATGAACGCAGAGATCACACGAGCACCCATGCCTATCCCGTAGTCTAGCTCCCGTTGCTATAAGTTATCTCCGCAGGAGCAAGAGCAGCATGTCAAGCTATGTTTGTTATAGCTTATTTGTGTTAGTCTCGGTGTACTTTCTCTTTTCTAGGGTTAGGGTTAGGTTTCCTATATCTTGCTTGTTTGTTCTTTCCTTCGTCATTCACTCAAATGTTATCACTTTGACACAGCAGCAGCAGCAGTAGAAGCAGCCAGCAACAGCAGCAGCCACAGTCGTCATCTTTGCAGCAGATGTTCCCACCTGTGAGTGGCCTTCGGGCCCTCGGTCTTCCTTCCTCTCCTCGAGATCGCTCACCGCCTCCTCCTGACTACGGTCCTGCGTTTCCTCCTCCGGGCTCGTCCCTGGCTGTTGTCTCTTCTCCTCGTTCCCCGCCCGCTCCTCCTGTTGTCCCACACTCTCGCATCCGCCCTTGTCCCCCTCGTGCTCGTTCCTCGTCTCCTGTTGACGACCTTCGCACTGTCCTCCTCTGTTCTGGTAGTTGTTGTTCTCCGTCTTAGTCTGTTCTCCCTTCTCCTCCTGAGTCGTCTCTTCCTGTCTCCTCTACCCCCATCACGGTCTACTACAGTGCTATTCATCCTGTTGTCAAGCGTGTTCTCGCCTCTCTTGTCATGGACCCTCGTGCCTCTCTACCGTCTGTCTCGGCTCTCGTTGCCACTGTTGGTGACTGCGCTACCACTCGCCGCCGTGACTACGCCACCCACGTGGTGGTGGCTCCCCCTACTCGTCCTCTATCTGCCGGGGGTGAATCTGCCCATTGCTGTGACGTCCTAGAGGACAGGTAGTTAGACCTGTTGAGACAGGCCTCCGTTTGCTGTAGACTTGCTTCTTGTTGCTTGTACTTGCATTCATATATATATATGTGAACTCTTGAACTGGCCTTGTGGCTGCTTTCTTGTGCTCCGATTGTGTGGTGACTTCGTGATCCACCCTAAGCCTTGTTTTGTTGCTTCTCTTGACTTGTCTTGTGACCATCTGTGTTTGTTGGTCACTCTAGTTGTCCCTGATTTAGCATATGGGGTTGTGTCAAAACAATGCATGATTGTGTAATATGTTTTAGTGAGGCGCATAGTAGGGAGGATAGCTTCCTAGATTTGTATTCATACTCTCACCTTTGCTAATGTAAGACATTTCGTTGCATTCTATTTCTTTTAGCAAATAGCGAAACCGGTTATCAAGCCAATGCCTCCTTGGCAAACCACTTCTTCCCCTCTTTTAGGGGGGGATCCCAATGAACACACAAATGAGGGCGAAGGCCATTTAGCGTTCAAAGGTATATCAATTAGAGTCGCGAGATCTAGAAGTTGTAATTTTGTGTGAGTTTGATGTGGCTATGATTTTTTTCTCAATTTTAGGCGCACCCACTATTTTCTACTTCCACTTTAACTGAACCTGCTCCATATCGCGCACTGGTATTTTATGCTAACTGCCTCAGACGCTATATGCGTGCTTAGCAACGTGCCCAGCAACGTACTTAGCCATGCCTTCTGCCGCAATTCGTCCTGCGCCCAGCCTTCGCAACAGCGCGGGGAATTCGCTTGCGTCTTGCGGCCCCTCGTTCGTCGCGTCGCTCCGTTGCCCTCCCCGCACATTCCATTCGCGCCTGCCCACGCTCCATTGGGGGACGGCGGACGCGCAGCGCGGAGGTCGTTTGGTCGCGCTCGCGCCATCTCTCGGCACGTGCGCGACCAGCACAGCGTTTCGAGACCGTCAGGTGAGAGGCACGTGCGGCACTCGCAGGTGGGCCACTCGCGGCTCACATGGGGTCGGCGCTGCTGCGCGCCGCGCCTGCCAGCATGCAGCGCGTGCGGCAAGGCGCGCACGGTTTGACGCTATGGATGATGGCGTGCGGGCGATGCGTGCTGGGTACCGACCACGTGGCACAGGCGCCCCTCGCCCCTGTGGCACAGGCTCTGATGTGTAGCTCCATGGGCGCCGATGGTGTTGCACGCTGCACGCTGCTTACCACCCTCCCACCCTCTCCCCATCCGTCCACAGCCGTCGCTGGCAGCCACCTCTCCGTGTCGCCACCGGCGCTTCTCTCCATCTGCCATGGCCAGCCCCGCCCACCACTCCGCACCACCTCCACCTCATCATGAACCGAGTGATGCTGCCGAACCGAGTGATGCTGCCGAACCGAGTGATGCTGCCGAACCGAGTGATGCTGCCGAACTGAGTGATGCTGCCAAGGCTGCAGTGGAGGCCCGGATGGAGCGCGGCATGGCGGAGGTGGCAGCGCTGAGGCGCGAGGAGGTGGGCGTGGTGGTGGTGGACCACGGGTCCCGGCGAGCAGAGTCCAACCAGCAGCTCGGTGCGCTTCCCTGGGCTGGGCCCCACGGACGTGGGGGACTGCGGGGGGGAGCTGGATTGGCGGGGGGCAGTTAGGATGAGGAGGGGAGGGAAGGATGGAGGGAGGAACGAGAGGGGAGAAGGGAGGAAGGAAAGGAGGGAGTGAGGGAGAGGGGGAGGGAGGGTCACTGATGCTGCAAGTAGGGATGCTCGGGGTTGCTTGTAATGGGGTAACATACCATTGCATCCCCTCCACCGCTGCTCACCCACACTGCTCTCAGGATAAGTCACAGCACCTCCCATGCCACACCTTCCCCATCCTGCACGTTAAGAATTCGTTACTCACTAATCTCTCCCTTTCTTGCAATCTCCCTCTCGCGCCTCCCTCCATGCCCCTCATGGTGTGTCGCCACCAGACATCTTCGTGGGGGTGTTTCAGCAAGAGACGGGCTACTCCATTGTGGAGCCGGCGCACATGGTGAGGGGCGCACATGGTGAGGGGCGCACATGGTAGGTGCCCCCTCGGCAGTCCACAGTGGATTTCTAGCAGACCTTTCTCCCCTTTTCTCGCTCCCCAAGAGCCTGCGCTTCCACACTTGTGTGTCGAACCCACTCTCTCCATCCCTGTGATGTGCAACGCCTTTCATGCTCTACTCCCGCTCCACTGAACCCATATCATTGCACGGCTGCCACCCATCCAAGACGCCCTCATCTCCGTCAGCGCCTGCATGCCACCCACATAGGCTCCCTGCCTCACTCAGCAAGCCAAAAACGGCCGTGCAAACACTTTGCCTCCCAACCCTCCATGTTACCCTCGTCTCACGTTCCCTCCCTGCCATCCCCTCTACCCCCACGGCATCATCAGGAGATAGCGGAGCCGTCCATAGCAGTGGCGTTCGCGCGGTGTGTGCAGAGGGGCGCCAGGGGCGTCATCGTGTGCCCCTACTTCCTCTCGCCCGGCCGCCACTGGCAACGGGTGCGTCCTGGGGTGCCCAGCGGCTCATGCACTTGTGGCGTGGCAGCTGTTCCACATTCACACATTCGCACTTGTGGATTGTTTCTGACACGTTCGCACCGTTTTGAGACGCTTGCACCATCTCCTCCGTGCCACCATGTCTCCCCTGCCACCATGTCTCCCCTGCCACCATGTCTCCCCTGCCACCATGTCTCCCCTGCCACCACGTCTTCCCTGCCACCATGTCATCCCTGCCACCACCATGTCATCCCCGGCCTGGCAGGACATCCCGGCGCTGGCAGCAGAGGCAGCAGCGCAGCACGGCAATGAAGTGCCCTTTATAGCCACCGCGCCCATTGGGGTGCATCCACTCGTTGCTGTGAGTGCCGCTCATGGCCTTTTCCTTTTTCCTTCCTCTTCCCCGTCCCGCTTTCTCTTCTCCCGTCCACCCTCTCGCTCACACAATGACGAGTGTTGAAGCAGAGATGCCATCTGACTGCCAGTGCCATGTCACTAGCATTGCCATGTCACTAGCATTGCCATGCGACTGCCAATCGTATGAGTGTTTCGGTGTGTCTCGGCTCTCCCCGCCCCTCTTTCCCGCTTTCCCTTTGCTCCTGCCTCTCACTGCTACCCCTCGCTGCCCCCCCTCGCTGCCCCCTCTCGCTGTCCCCCCTCGCTGCCCCCTCTCGCTGTCCCCCCTCGCTGCCCCCCTGCACCGTGGTGAGCGCACCAGCGTGTGTTGGAGCAGCGCATCACCCACTGCCTGCAGCGAGTGGCCAGCGGGGACGCCACCAGTGCATGTGATGCATGCAGGGATGGGGGGGGTTGCATGGAGCAGAACCTCCTCTGACAAGCGCCCCAACGGGGCCTAAGTTTCTAAAAAAAGAAAAACACGTACCGTATTCTCCCTGACATAACACCCTAGGGTATAGCTAAAAATACAGGGAAAAAATGGGGGGGGTCTCCTCATAGGAAAAAGTTACATAATACCTGGGTCTTTTACATATGGTATATTTTAGTGTTGGTATCTATTTAATTAGACAATGTGGGTGTTTTGATTTTCATTTTAACGTCACTGATTGAGGCGCGAATGTGAGTTTCGGCCACGAACTTCATCACCCCTACGAAAATGCCATGTGGAACCTCTCTTGCCACTTGCAGCGGAAGATTTTGTCAGAACATATATGTAGCTTATGCTGTTGTGTAGGCTACAGTGGGGTATCCCATAGGGGGTACAACCCAATTAGGGTTTTGCTATTTGTACCCAACTCTTTCATAGTGCATTCATCCTCGTTCTATTTTCCACATGGTACCGTCTCCCCCCGGATATACCCCCATGGGGGGCAATAATAAAACAGGTTTTTTCATGGGGGTGGGCTTATAATCGAGTAAATTTATAAGCGCCGGCGTTTATAAAATGACATACATATTTTTTTATATCTTTTAACACCAAACTGTAGGTCTCGTGCTTGCCTTTTCAATCGAGTCGAAGTTACATGGGATCGTCTGTGAAATTCTCGCGCGCGCTGGGAGATACACCCAATCTGACTCACATCCAGCTCCTGACAGGTCCTGCTGACTGGACCCGCATCCAGTGCAGGGTCCGAATGTGAAGGGAACCGAATCTGCAACATATCCGCCTGCTAAAGTAAAAATCGTTACAGCTTTTTGAACACATTTCAAATTTTAAAGTTTACGTGCGCTTATAATAAAACAAGTTTTTTCAAGGGGTGCGCTTATAATCGAGGAGGGGATATAAGCGCCATATGCCAATTAGAAGCGCCAGGCGCTTATCCTAGGGTGGCGCTTATATCCGGGGGGAGACGGTATCGAGCAGGTTCCCCCGTGGGAACTGTGCTTAGGGCCCACCACTTTTTTAAACTTTTTTTTCTGCCCGGAGCGCGCTCCGGGCCCTCGCTCTCACTCTTTCGGCCTGCCCTGCGCCCCCCTAGCCACCCGCGCGCGCCCGTTCAGGCCCCTAGCCGCCCGCGCGCCGCCCGTCCCGGCCCTTAGCCGCCCACGCGCCGCCCGTCCCGGCCCCTAGCCGCTCGCGCGCCGCCCGTTCAGGCCCCTAGCCGCCCGCGCGCCGCCCGTCCCGGCCCCTAGCCGCTCGCGCGCCGCCCGTTCAGGCCCCTAGCCGCCCGCGCGCCGCCCGTCCCGGCCCCTAGCCGCTCGCGCGCCGCCCGTTCAGGCCCCTAGCCGCCCGCGCGCCGCCCGTCCCGGCCCCTAGCCGCTCGCGCGCCGCCCGTTCAGGCCCCTAGCCGCCCGCGCGCCGCCCGTCCCGGCCCCTAGCCGCTCGCGCGCCGCCCGTTCAGGCCCCTAGCCGCCCGCGCGCCGCCCGTCCCGGCCCCTAGCCGCTCGCGCGCCGCCCGTTCAGGCCCCTAGCCGCCAGCGCGCCGCCCGACCCGGCCCCAGGCCGCCCTGTGCCGCCCGCCCCGGCCGCGCTCTCCTGTCTCGGCCCCTCGGCGCCAGGACGCCACCCGTCCTGGCCCCTCACCCGTCCCGGCCTCACACCGCCCGTGCGCCGCCCGTCCCTGCTGCACGCTGCCGGGTCGCCGAGCTGCCGAGCTGCAGTTGCTGCCGAGCCGCCCTGCCGCCGAGCCGCTCGAGTCGCCCGAGCCACAGAGCCGCCGTGCTGCCGAGCCGCTGAGTCGCCGAGCCTACTCTACCCACCACTGGTGAGCCCCTGCCCTGCTAGCACGCTGCGCGTCGCCTGCTTGCCTGCCTGCCTCCCTTTTTTGGCTTGCCTGGCTGCCTGCCTTACTGCTGCTACTCCTGCTCCTGCCTCTACTGGTGGAGCCAGATGCAGCCCCATCGACGTCTGCGTGGGTCCCTCACGCCCCAGCAGCTGCGTGAGTGGTACGCTGGTTGGGGCTGTAGGGGTGGTGGCGCTACTACTGCTGCTTCTACTACTGGTGGCGGCCAGATGCAGCTCCCGCGACCCCCCCGCGCGTCTCTCACGCCTCAGCAGCTTTGTGAGTGGTACGCTCAAAGTGGAGGGTCTCTCAGTTCTGTTCGCTGCTCTTACGTGATTCTCACTGGTGCTCGGACTGGTCAGCCTTGTGGGACACCTAGTCATACACAGTCCCGCTGCTTCGCCCGTCTGAGCGACGCCTGGCGTACCGTGTTTGGCGACGAGGCTGAGCTCCCCGACTGGGTGGAGTTGCTTAGGCAGAGGGTAGATATATTTGCTCTTGACTATGATGCTATTCTCACTGCCATGTATGCATTGCCTACTAGTGCTGACCGTGCCGGTCACCTGTGCGTCCCGCCTGACCCAGGTATAGGACCTGCTTCTCTAGCTACTGGTGAGGCTGCTGCTGCTCTAGGTGCTAGTGAGTCTGCTTCCTCAGGTGCGGGTGAGGCTGCGCTCTCAGGTACCGCGTTGGCTTCGGCCTCCCTCACCTTTACACTTGACTCTGGGGCTTCTCGCTCCTTCTTTCGGGACCGCACCACACTCACGCCGCTTGGTCGGCCGGTTGCAGTCTCCCTGGCTGACCCCTCTGGGGGTCCTGTCCTCGCTCACTTCTCCACTGTCCTCCCATGTCCGGCTGCCCCCTCGGGCACCCTGTCTGGCCTGTACCTCCCCTCGTTCTCGACGAACTTGGTGAGTGGTGCAGACCTGCAGGATGCGGGGGTTCACCAGTTCACTCCTGCGAGTCAGCGGGTGACCCACTGCACGGACGCACGCACACGCCGGCACCTGGCCACGTTCTCGCGTCGGCCGGGGTCGAGCCTCTACACCCTGACCACTGAGTCTCCTCCTGTCCCTGCGTCCGGTCAGGTAGCAGCGTCAGGTCAGGTGTTTGCTGCTGCGTCCAGGTCTGGTCCTGAGTCTGCCCCCTGTTCGTGTCGCCTCCTGTCTCATGAGACTCTCCTGTGGCACCACCGTCTTGGCCACCCCTCCTTGCCCCGCCTTCGGGGCATGGCTTCCCGTATCCTTGTCTCTGGTCTTCCCCAGTCTCTCCCTCCCCTTCCTTCGGGACCAGGACCTTCCTGTGTCCCCTGTGTCGAGGGGCGCCTGAGGGCTGCTCCTCACTCCTCCCAGTTTCCCCCGACAGAGGCTCCTCTGCAGACACTTCACATGGACGTGTGGGGCCCGGCCCCCGTCCGTGGGCAGAGTCACGAGCGCTACTTCCTGTTGGTGGTTGACGACTACTCGCGTTACACCACAGTCTTCCCCTTGCGCAGCAAGGGTGCTGTCACTGAGGTGCTGATCGACTGGATCCGCGAGGCTCGTCTCCAGCTCAGGAGGAGCTTCGGCTCGGACTTTCCTGTTCTGCGTCTGCACTCTGACCGAGGTGGGGAGTTCTCCTCTACTGTCGTGCACAGGGGATCCGCCAGACCTTTACGCTTCCGGACTCTCCACAGCAAAATGGGATTGCTGAGCGCCGCATTGGCATGGTCATGGATGTCGCTCGTACGTCCATGATGCATGCGGCTGCCCCCCATTTTCTGTGGCCGTTTGCGGTTCGGTACGCGGCGCATCAGCTCAACCTTCACCCCAGGGTCTCTCGGCCCGCGATGTCCCCAGTGTTACTGTGGACGGGGAAGGTCGGCGATGCGTCTGCGTTCCGTGTCTGGGGATCTCGGGCGTTTGTCCGCGACTTGTCTGCGGACAAGCTGTCCCCCCGTGCTGCTCCCTGTGTCTTCCTTGGCTTCCCCCCTGACGCTCCAGGGTGGCAGTTCTACCACCCCTCCTCTCGTCGTGTTCTGTCCTCCCAGGACGTCACGTTCGACGAGTCAGTCCCCTTCTACCGCCTCTTCCCCTACCGTACTCCTTCCCTCCCCCCCCCACCCGACTTCCTGGTGCCAGTTCCCCCCCCGGTAGACCCCCTCCCCCCTCAGGTTCCTGCCCCTTCAGGTGTGTCCCAGGTAGACACAGTCGAGCCAGTCGAGGTTGCTGCTGAGTCTGGTCCTGTTGCGGGTGCAGAGTCTGGGGGTGCTACGCCTGCGGGTGCTGAGCTTGGGGGTGCTGCTGCTGGGGGTGCTGAGCCTGGGGGTGCGAGGCCGGGGGGTGCTGAGCTTGGGGGTGCTGCTGCTGGGGGTATTGAGCCGGGGGGTGCTACGTCAGGAGCTGCTGAGCCTGGGGGTGCTGAGCCTGGAGGTGCGGAGCCTGCGACTGCTGGACCTGGGGGCTCTCCGGTTGCTCCGTCTCGGCGGGAGCCGCTCTCTCCACAGGAGCTGCGCGAGTGGTTTGCTCGCCGCTGGAGGCGTGCTGCTGGAGCTGGAGCTCCTTCGACTGTTGAGGGTGCTGGTGCTGCCGGTCCCGGAGCTGCTGGGCCTGCGGGTCCTACTGGAGCTGGAGCTGCTGAGCCTGGGGGTGCTGAGTCTGGAGCTGCTGAGCCTGGGGGTGCTGAGTCTGGAGCTGCTGAGCCTGGGGGTGCTACGTCTGGAGCTGCTGAGCCTGGGGGTGCTACGTCTGGAGCCGCTGAGCCTGGGGTTCCTCCTGGTGCTGCGTCTCGGCGGGAGCCCCTCTCTCCAGAGGAGCTGCGCGAGTGGTTTGCTCGCCGCTGGAGGCGTACTGCTGGAGCTGGAGCTTCTCCGACCGTCGAGGGTGCTGGTGCCGCCGGTCCCGGAGGTGCTACGCCTGCGGGTCCTACTGGAGCTGGGGCTGCTGAGGGCGGTGGTGCTGAGTCTGCTGCTGTCTGTCCTGACGGTGGTTCTGCTGCTGGTGCTGCTGGAGGTACTGCCGCTGGAGGTGTTGGTGGCGCTGGTACTGCCGCTGAGGGTGCTGGTGCTGTCCCTGCTGAGTCTGGAGCTGCCGCGCGGCCTCGGCCGTACTTCGTTCCGCTTCTGCAGCAGGTTCTTGGTCTTTCTCCTCCGGTAGAGTGTCCACAGCCTGTCCAG